GAACTACATGAGCTGATAGGAAGTGATCACTGATACATATTATTGAGAGAAAATAAATAAAAATATACCATGCTATATAGTATGCCTCTACTTGGGGAGAAGAACATGTAAATACATACAAGTATGTATATATCACACGATGATTTTGTAATGATATGCAAGAAACTAATGATTATAACTGTCTTTGGGAGGCTGGAAGTCTCAGATAAGAGGAAGATTATTTTTTATTCTATATTCTTTGGTATTATTGGAAATTTTACTAAAAGCAAATATAATTTTTTAATTTAAAAATTTAATGAAAAGGTTTTTTTACAGAGAATTAAGTATGGACATAAAATACTTGGAGGTGAAATCTACTAGATTCAGTTTGCTTATTATAGTAAATATATGATTCATCTAAAATGATTTATTAACTTTTAATTTTATAGCTGTTAAACTTTATCATTTGCAAATGACCTTAAGTACCTGTTGTAGAATCAGACATTTTTTAAAATTTCATAATTTTGTTACAAAAGCAATACATGATCAGCCCTGGCTGGTGTGGCGCAGTGCATTGAGCACTGAAATGCAAACCAAAAGGTCACTAGTTTGGGCACACGCCTGAGTTACTTGCAGGTATGTGAGAGGCAACCAATTGGTGTTTCTCTCACACATTGATGTTTCTCCCCCACTCTCCCTCCCTACCCCTCTCTCTAAAAAATAAATAAATAAATAAAATCTAAAAACAAAACAAAAGCAATACATGATCACCGAAGAAAAATTAGAAAATGAACAAAAATAAATGTCCTTATTTCTATCACCCAGAGATTAGCAGGTAACAATTTGATGAATAGCTTTCCAGAATTTATTTTATACTAAAATATATATATACATAAAAGGGACTTACATATATTTATAATTTTTCATTGATAATACATCAGTAACACATTTCCATGTTTAGAAACAGAATTAGACTTTTAGAGCTAGAGGAAACCTTAAAATTTTAGAACAGTGTAACCAAGAAATGGGACCTACATTTACCACCATACATACGTCACCTACCTCCCTGCGGGCCCGTGACAGATACTCTGGGTTATGACAGCACTGTCCTGCAGTGTGGAGACAGAACCTCCAAAGCCTCAACAAAGTGCTACGGAAAACCACAACCAAAAGATTAAAGTCATGCAAGTTGAAATTGATTATTAACTAATCTAAACCAATAATGAGGAGTCCATTGATTTCTTGACCCAAACCACACAATTGGCCATAGATCCAAGGCAAGAAACTTCCTTTCCTTCCATGATGCTACTCACATGTCTTAGGAGTAACTGCGAAGTAAATCTCTGAGGTCCAGTCCCAGTTCGTCCAGTTGGGCAGATACTGAATTTTCAGAGCCACTTCTGTAATGAGATTTACAGAACCTTGAAATCACTTTTAAAATGCTAAAAATATATGTTTGGAAGATTGTTAATACTATTTTATGAAATATACTTCAAAATACTCATTTTTAAATATGAAATTAGGGGAAAAGGATGAAATAAGTAAGTACAGCTTAATTTTTATTTATTCTTTGTGTTTAAGCCACATTTATACAATGTGGCAACTCCACTTCTGCTATAGCACACTGTCAAAGGAACACAGCATACTACTTGATATTTTGAAAGACTGCCATAGATAGATCTAAAAGGCCCTTCCAAACTCCTGTTTATGGGAACCATTGAGGATTCTGAAGCCTGTAGTGTGCATTTTAGAAATCTGACAGAGTACTGTCCCCACTACCCCTGAATTTGGGAACTCTGGGAAAAGAAAACTGCACACGATTAATATCTTAGGACTCCAGAATTCTTAAGGAACATAGTAGCCTGTGGCCTTCACATGTGATTTTTAGTGATATCTTAGGCCAGGTTCACATACTTTATTACCAATGTGTTGTTGCTTGGAATATACATCCTGGGTCTGCATTCTACCAACTCAACATAATACTGCCCAGTTGAGTCGACAATACTTAACAACAAGCATTTACTGAGCACTTGTTTTGCGCCAAGCACTCCAACAGGTTCTGAGGCTACAAAGTCAGGCAGAGACACAGTTCCTGACCTGAAGGAGCTTGCAGCAAAATCAGCAAGAAAGATATAAACAAGATATTTTTTTCTCTTTGGACTTTTTCTATGATTTATAGTTATCTCATGGATAAAGAAATAAGAAGTAATATTTACAAATCAAATCTAAGTAATAACCTATTTTTACTTAATATTTTAAAAAATAAATGACTGAAACATCAAGTTGTAAATCAATGTCTTTTTGTTCTTATAATTTTTTATGACAAGCTTTCTTTAAAAAAAAGATTTTCTTTATTTATTTTTAGAGAGAAGGGAAGGAAAGGAGAAAGAGGAAGAGGAATATTGATGTGTGGTTGCCACCTCTGCGACCTCCACGGGGGACCTGGCCCACAACCCAGCTGTGTGCCCTGACTGGGAATTGAACCAGCGATTCTTTGGTTTGCAGGCTCGCACTGAAACCACTGTGCCACACCAGCCAGGGCCATTCTTATACTATTTGTAACCTATATTATTTTACTATTATTATTTTTTTCATTTATATATATTAGATAAATGAAAGTTTATTTCAGAGGAGAGGTACTGCCTGCCATTGGGCAGAGGGAAACTCATGCTTATTCACTATTTTATTATCAGGTTTGATTTGTAAATAAAATACATTATTTAAGAACTTTAAATAATAAAAGATATCTGTATATAATTTTGATTATTTCAAGAATAATGGTGTGTTTTCCTGTGGGATGCCCCATCCCACGGAGCTCTCTAGGCCGCCTCGGATGAGAATAAGTTGTCCCAGGCACCATCTGTTGTTCTGGGACAAAAGGGGTCCTGGAACAGGCAGGAAAAGGGGTGGAGATTCCTTCCAGAGGAGAATGCCCCAACCCCTTCTCCAAAACGGCTTTTACTGGGATAGGTATGTGCAGGGGTATGCAGCATGCACGCATAGCTCATTGAAGAATGACCAAAGGCTGTAATTAATAGAAAACAGATATTATCTATAGATAATAATCGAAGGAACACAGATATCTGCCTCAGGTTAGGGTCTATTAGACGTGCTGAAGGCTGTTGGTTGTTAAGGTGTTTCATGAGATAAGGAGTTTCACTCCTTCTGCTTTTGGACTTAGATATCTGATTCCTGGCAATAGGAATACAAACCAAAGCAAGCCTCAAGGGGTATAATGCATTCTTTAGGCCTGATGTCCTACAGAAGCTCTCCGTGCTAGTATCGGGTCATGCCTGCCACCTGCATTCCCAGCGTTCTGGTTGAGACTTACAGGCTTCTTTCTGGGACAAAAGAGGTCTGGGAACAGGCAGAAAAAGGGGTGGCGAGGCATTTCAAGGCATTGCTCATGCGGGGCTACAGTCTCTGATATCTCACAAAGTGGTCCCCAACATTTTCTTATAATCCTTTTAAATCAAAAAGCAAGTTCTTGTCCTGACTGGTGTAGCTCAGTGGGTTGAGCACAGGCTGTGAACCAAAGAGACGCCAGTTCAATTCCCAGTCAGGACACATGCCTGGGTTGCAGGCCAGGTACCCAGTATTGGGTCCTCGGGGGGCAACCACACACTGATATTTCTCTCCCTCTCTGTCTCCTTTTCTTTCCCTCTGTCTAAAACTGAATTTTTTTTTTAAAAAAAGCAAGTTCTTTAAGAGGTTTAGCTAATTCTGAAACTCATGAATTGAGTTTTTTCTCCCTTATAAATCAAAATACCAGGTATGTCCAGAAAGTATCTAGCCATATAACATAAAAAATAGAAACATTTGTTGAAGATGTAAGATAAAAGAAACATTGCATATAGAACAATGACACTTCAGTCCCCCCTTTATTTACAGCAAATACCTAAAATGTTGTACAGAATTTATGAAGTCAGATTTATATTTCCTTTGAATGTATCTCTCATTTGAGACTGAGCCACATGGAGCCTTTGGAATTATTTAGATTAAATATTACAAAATATAAACATGTTTTCTAATAAAATATCAATGTATCAATGTCAACCAATTATAGTAGCATAGCTTTTTAAGGCAGTTTTGAACATGATTGAAAAAAATATGCATAACTAGACATAACCAGGAATTTTTGCATCATTCTCTGCCTATTGTCAGTCCTTTGGCATACTTAACTGAAATTCTGAAGGGAGTGCAGGAAAGGGACAAGTTACAGAGCTGTGAGCAGGGTCAAGGGGAGCACGGAGGAAGGCTGAGGCACAAAGAGCCCAGCAACAATGGGAAGCTGTTCCCTGGGGCTGAAGGGTGGGGGGAAGGGACAGTATTTCTGGGGCCCATTGAGTTGTGCAGCCTAACACTTCAGTCATAGACATTCTCCCCTTAGAAGGTGCAGTCACTCTTTTATTTCAAACTTCAGAATATATTATGATAATACGAGGTCTGTCCAGAGGGTATCCGGCCAAGTAATATGAAAAATAAAGACATTTATTGCAGAAAATACAAGATACAAGAAACATTATACATAAGACAATGACTTCTCAGTCCCCTTCAAAGTAGGTGCCTTGGGACCTCACATAGTTCTTCCAATCTCCATCAGCTGCTCCATCATATTTTCCTGAATCTCATCCGCAGTCTGAAATCTCTCCCTTTACAAATGTGATTTTAGTTTTAGGAAAAGCCAGAAGTCACAGGGTGCCAAATCTGGGCTGTAGGGGGGCAGAGTCACCTGGGTGATTTGATGTTTTGCCAAAAATCTCTCCACGAGGCACAATGCATGAGCGAGTGTGTAGTTATGATGAAGCTGTCGATCACAAGTTGCCCATAGCTGCAGCCTTCTGAATCATCTGACTAGTTTCTGTGGAGGAATATCCAAGCTTAACACAAATTTAATTCAGATTTATTGCTCTACTTGCTCAGTCATTTTGAATGTGACAGCCACACAGTACACATGCTCACTCAATGGTGTCTACCACCCCCACTGCCTAGTACAGTGAAGTCATCATTGTTCATGCATCCACATTTCAGTCCACTCTCCTTGGCTGCCAGGTTACACTGATGTCACACAAAACATTCTTGTTTATATTAACAATGGCTAGACTTTTTCCAGACAGGCCTCATATGTCTCCCTTGCTCCCAATGTAGCATAGTAAACACATTTTGTGATGGTTAAAATATTTCTTCAAGGCCAAATAACTGTTAGAAGAATAAAAAGGTTTGTCATATGTTTTCAATAAAAAAGTGTTTTTCTTGTATTGGAAGATCATCTTCATCTTCAGTCCTGCAGTTTTTTCATGGACCTCATTATATTTCAGGCACCCTGCCAAGGTCAAGAAGAAAAGAACAAAAGCTCAATGGAGTCAGACAAAACTACTGTGCTGTCAACAACATTATCCTAGCATACTCCCCTTTTGCTCTACATTTTACAGGCTCATACTAGGTATATCAAGCTCTTAATATAAATGGGACATCAGGACAACGGAAGCAATCCAGGAATATATAATAATGATGAAATGATAATGCTGTCTGACTTGGATGCAGAAAATCCTGTGGATGACAAAATAAAGCAACTGTAAGGTAAATGAAAGAGGTGAAAAGAGTGAATGGGATGGAGAAAAATTAAGAATTTTGTTTGTTTTTAGCTTTACACAAAACATTAGGCATCCTATAGTGACAGCATCTGTACACTTTTCACATAGTTTGGTTTTGTATTTTTTTATTGTGGTGAGAGACACATAACATAAACCCATCATTTTAACCATTTTAAGAGTACAGTTCAGTGGTATTAAGTGCATTCACCATGTTGTGCAACCATCACCAGCATCCATTTCTAGAAATTTTTCATCATCCCAAACAGAAACTCTGTACTCATTAAACAATAACTCACCATTCTCCCCTCCCTTCAGCCCCTGGTAACCTCTAATCTACTGTCTCAATGATTTTAACTATTCTACCACCTCATGTGAAGGGAATTATACAGTATATGTCCTTTTATGTCTGGTTTATTTCACTTAGCATAATGCCTTCAAGACTTACTCATGTTGCAGCATGTATCAGAACTGTGTTCCTTTTTAAGGCTGAATAATATTGCACTGGATGGATATACCGTATTTTGTTTATTAATTTTTCTGTCGATAGAGATTTGGGTTGTTTCTACCTTTTGGCTATTGTGAATAGTGCTGCTATGAACTTTTATATCACTGCTGGGTGGCTGTCTTCCACTACTTCATTCCAAAGGCACAGGACTTTGATGAGAGCATACATTAACTTCTGAAGAATTTATTTTGGTTTTGCCACGAGTATTTATAAGGGGTACTAAATAACACACAGACTCAGAGACTCTAACCACGCAGTAAAAGATAAGTCTCTAAAGCTGAAAGAACTTCTTTCTTTTATATAAAGTGATCCATGGTATTAGCATATTTTTAAAATGTCAACAATTAACAATGACTTGTATAAAAGTATAGAAAATGCAGAAGTTGAAAATGCACATTGAAATTGGAGAGCCCCAATAAGCAAACTAAATTTTACATCTGTAGAACACATATCTCCACTGTGAATACAGAAACAGCAAATTATTATAACACATATTTAATAAATTTTTAAAAGGCCAAATTGTGAACCTTAAAAAAAATGTCCCTAGTCATGATTTACTTGATGGTCGTGCCCATCACATGCCTTATAGCTCCCAAGACTTTTTACTCTGAGATTTTAATTTATTAATTAATTGTACAGTTATTTGTTCACTGTTGTTTGCATGAGTCAAACTCCAGGTGATTAACTGCTATGCTATATTGCTTTTCTAAGTACCAGGTACTTGACAGAATTCTTAAGGCTTGCTCTTACCAGGAGGATTAGAAAAACACCTATTTCTACTTCCTTTTTTTTTCCTGTCCTGGTTGGCACTCTGAACTCCACATTAGTTTGAGGTTTGGGAGTACGGGAAGCACGACCACACATATGCCACCTCTGCGTTAGCTTTGCAGATGAAATCAAGATCTGTGAGAATTTGCACATGCGAAAGTGCAAGCTGTTGTCTTAAATCTCCCATTTCCCCATGTCCTTGATTTTTAGGGCCTAGCAATTGAACATAAATTATAGTTCTATGTAAGTGTCAGGAAATAAAAATATGGAAAAGATCATACATGTTTCCTAATCTAATCATGAGACCATGTTCTTCCTTTAGCAATTTATTCATTTCTTATTTTAAAAAATAGTCTCATTGAGATTTAGTGGGTCACACATTCCTAACTAGAAAAAAAGAAACAATTCCCATTTTGAAAAAATATATATAATGAATCCAGGAGAAAAAAAATATATTGTTTTGGTGTCTCTTCTATAGGAGATTTTGTTCCTCACTTTTCTATAAACTGAAATCAGGCTAAATGTAGTGACCAATGGAAAACAGATTCATTTCTTTCCAGGACTAAAAAATATAACTCAAATATATGCAAAATTTGTTGCATGGATGTGGACACTATATTTCTTTGATAATAAAAAGACAGTACATATGACAAGATTTTACATTTTATTGAACAAAATCACAGTTGATTAAAAATGCTGAATTATTTTCATCTTACGCAAACATATTCTATTGTTGTGCAAGATTGCCCTCTTGTGTTTTCTCTAGTTAGGTCATTATTATTTGTATCAATTTCACATTCAGCTTTTAACTTTTGCATTTAAAATGAACTCACTACTAAATGAACTTCAAAGTTGTACATTCAAAACCATACAGATCATAACTTAATGTTTGCATTTGGGTTCACGGTACAACTCTATTCTTTTATATCTCAGAATTAATTTATAAAATACTATGGCTTAAAGTTAAGAAAAAGCAGACTCAAACAGACATAAATGCATAGAGAAAAATTTAGAATAATATCAAGGAACACTAAAACCTTGGTACTAAGTGCCCATATTACCAAGTAATAGAAGATGCAGCCAATTAATCTATTTAGTATAGGTTGGCTTAATGTCCTTGCAGTCAGTTTCTTCCTTTAGCTTTGTTATTATGGGTATATAAAAACACAATTAACATTTTAAATTATTTTGAAAAAAATCCTTATTTATTAAGTTAGCAAAGTTTTTTTTTCTGAATGTTGCCTAATTCAAATAGGTACTCTCAAATGTTGCTGGTAAAAATGTAAACTTGGTCCACATTTTTGTAAATCAAATTGGCAGTATATTAAAAAAGAATTATTAGGTTTACTTCTAGGAATTTATCTCAAGAGTGCAATCCTAAGTACCCAAAAAATTCTATGCCAAAACTGCTCATCATAGCATAATTTATAGCACAGACATCAGTAACAACCTAAATATAGCCATGTGTTGAATTAGATTGGAATACAATCATACTGTGGAATCTCTCACAACTATTAAAATTTTAACATTTAAAATAACAACATTTTCCTATGTTACGATTTTAAGTTTTTAAAAATCTGGACTAAAATGAAATGTCACCAAATATTATAGTGGTTGTCATTTGGGGGTGGAACTATGATGGGTTTTTTCTCTATTTTTGACTTGTCTATAGTTTCCATGTTGCATATGAATCACTGTTTTAATAGGGGAAGTCCCCAATGTTCCTAACATCACCAGAACCCAGGTAGTGCCCTCTTTATAGAAATCAGGAATTCTCGGTGGGCTTTCTATGCAAGCTCAGAAAGCTTTTGTGAAGAAAACCAGGACTTCAGCAACTAGGTCAGGGTATAGCATCCAGATGAGTGGTTGTGGGAAAGGGGAGGGGCCCTACGTCACAAAAAGAGTGGGAAAGGTCCTTAGAATGGATACTTTTTCTCCCAAATCTTTATTCTTTGAAAGAAGAAAAAACAGACAGGTGATGTATCAGAGCAACAACTACTTATTAAATGCTGAATACATGTTAGGTTGGTTGAAAGGGTTAGAAGTTAAATGTGATAAATGGCTGAATGCAAAGGATAGTTAACAGAAGCTGACCTCCAGGCATCCTGTAGGACTTTCTCGGCTAGATTTGCAGCTAATGAGCCAGTCTTCCTACCTGCATTTCTGCAACATCCCTTGTCTCCCTTTAACCTCCATCTCCACCCATTTTCCATACTGCAGTGAGGGTAGTCTTTTCAAAGAGCAAACCTTCAACAGATTCCCAGTGCCCCGTAGATAAACTCTAAACTTTGTATGGTGGCTGACAAGGCCTTTAAAGATCTGACTTCATCTTACTTCTATGGTTCCCTTCTGCTTCCTCACTCTGCCTTCCAGGCTTCTGATCTTCGTCAGTCTTTGCCCTGGTATACTCTCCAGTTGGACCCGCTCTGTCTCTAACTCCTGCTTCCTTTTCAAGTCTCTGTTTAAACACTGCCTTTATTGGGAAAACTTAGCTGCCACCACCATATGAACCCATCGTAATCACTGCTTTCCTTATCACAGGTCTTTCTGTATGTTATTAAATACTCTGGTTTAATTGTCCTCATCTGGACTGTAGGCTCTGGGAGGGAAAGGGCTAAGTAAGCCCGATTCACTTCAGCACTTAAAATGCCTAACCGGGGAGCAACAGATGTTTACTTAAAGAATGAATAAATGGATGAATAAATTTAACTTCCCCTGAACTTTCTTTAAAGAGGTATTCTGATGCAAATGCATATCAAAATTAAGGGGATATACATTCTGATGGTGGTAGTCCTGGGATGCTGGGAGTTCTTCACTCGGCACTGAGGTCCTAACTCTTGTTTTCAGGTAACAGATATGTGTGTGTATATTTCAAAAGATTTTTCATATTACTTTTCAAGCCCTTCATGGGAAAAATTCTGAATTATTGACCAATCATTTCTAATCGTTAAAAATAATGACTTCATTTAACAATAGGGGAGTAAATACACTGTAATTTATCAAAGAATTATACAAATCTTTAAAGACATGGTAAAAATAATATAATGCTATTATTATTAATAATATTATGGTAAGGTTTAAGTACACAACTACATATAAAAAGGCTACTATCTCCCACATGAAACAAAATGTATATATTATATATTTACATAATAAAAGTATTGAAAGGAAATGCATTAAAAACATATTGTGATTATTTCTGAAGGTCATTTCTATCTTAAACTTTTCCGTATTTCTCTTTAGAATAAGCACATATTACTTTTGTTAAAACATGAAGCATTATCAAAAACTCTTTATAATAAGAGTAATTCCTTTATGTGTAGGCAGTTATCCCCAAAATTGTTTTAAGACTAAAGGATATTTTATGAATTTTTTCCAAGAGCACATGCATATTTTACAATATTTTATACTGAATAGATTTAGTAATGCAATGACCTTTAATGCAGATGCTACTAG